ATTTTCTATTGTTTTAGCAGACAAAAGGAAGAAGCTTTTCCCTTTTCTGTCTCCTGCCCACCATTCTCCTCCTTTTGGGTGGACTTGCATCGCACGTCTGGCAGTATGGAGTCCCTAAATCTGTGTCACACCTGATGTCACAACTGGAGCTGCACTGGTTGGAAAGTTTCTGGATGCCTCAAGAGACATGCACTTTTGACTGTAGGTGAGGAAACGGGTCCTTTTCATATTTTGAAGTATTTAAATGGTGAGTTTGAGATGTTAATGTGTTTCTAAACGCTCCTTATCAGGCTTACTATTGTTGAGAGTGTCCCTGAGGGCCTCAGCTTCCCTTCCGGCTCGCCACACCTGCAGAACATTTCAGACACTTGGACTAATCTGCTAAACAAAGCAAACCGCTCTGTCCACATTGGTGCTTTCTATTTCACACTCCGAGATTCAGATTTAGGCCTTACGGAGCCCTCGTCTGTGCTGGTACGTTGTATTGTGGACATTTTACGCACTCTGAAGGCTCTAAAACATTTGTTACCTGCAGGATAATATTAATTTGCATTATATAAGGCGTTTCATTTAAATCTTTTCTACAGGGCAAAAAAGTGTTCAACCAGCTGAAGCAGCTGGAACCAAAAGGAGTGAAGTTGAAGATCGCTGTAAACGCCCCTCAGCCGTACATCGCAGACACAGACGAACTGGTTGCAACAGGTACAACAGCGTGCCTATTGCACATGCAGCACGTGAAAATGTATGCATTGAGAATGGTGAGTGGTTTGGATAGGATGTTATGCAGCTTTTTTCCTTTAGCTTTCTTGCTTTGTGCTTTCTCTCAGGGGCTGAGGTCAGGGGAGTTGACCTGCAGAGCATCACTGGAGGCATTTTGCACACCAAACTATGGGTTGTGGATAAGAAACACATGTATTTAGGGAGCGCAAACATGGATTGGCGTTCCCTTACCCAGGTACGTCTAAATCAAGCGACATTGTGTGTCATTATCTGACTGGACAAAAGTTGTCTGTTGACATGCAAATATGCATGGTCAGTGTGCATGCAGGTCTTTGACATGTAAATGTGTTTGTGATTTTATTTGATTTTTTATTAATTATATTATTTTATATTCATTTTATTTTATTTTATATTTATTTTGTAAATTTCATTTGAATTATTTATTTTATTTTATTTATTTTTTATTCATTATCCAGTGCAATTTATTAGACCGTAATGTCAAAATGGCTATTAACCCAAATACATAGGCGGAGTTTCACTTTTATGCTTGGGGGGGCACCCACTGGCAGATGAGCCACGAACACTTTTTTATATGTTCTACATTTCATATATTTATATGACATATATTCGACATTAAAAATACATTAAAAAAAACAGAAAAACATACCTAATGCAGAAAAGCCGCCTCTTTTTCCGAATTGCGTAGATGACCACTGTCTTTCTTTCACTATCTCTTCTCTTCTGATAGTTTTTCAGTCAAATCGTTCTCTATGTGCAGTAAAGAAAGATCTGAGAATCTGTCCTGTGCCACTGAAGATCGGAGCCAGATTCTCCTCATAACTGAGAAACTTTCTGATGTAGCCGAACCAACGGGCAGCGTGAGTGCAAACCGCAGTAGTCTGAAAAAGTTTGGATATCTGTCCTTCCGTAGCCTGCTTCATCTTTAAGTTTCTCAAGAGTAATCGGCGATGCGATCGCACATTTCACAAGATCCACTTCAGCTGTCACAAGCCGAGGGTGAATCTTAAGGCTTGCGTACATGCTTGAACCATCGCTTCAAATCACCTGTCCAATTCAGCCAGAAATGACTCAGTCCACCACATTTTTATTAGCGGGTTTATAAAAAAAACAACGAATATTTGTTAACTTGCTTAAATAGCGAAAAGAGAGTCCTCTCATGTCCTCTCAAGTTGAGGATATGGGGCTTAAATAATTAATTTAGCCCAAAACGTACTTATTCTAACCACTAAAATAATAAGATAACACAAATAAAATGAGAAAATGTGAATTCTTTAATTTTTATATTTTATTCATAGCCCAGACAAAATCATTATTGGCTCTCGTCTGGCCCCCCCTAAACTCCACCTATGCCCAAATAATCCATTTTTAAAAAATATACATGCATATGCAGTAATATAAATTTTTCTAATAGGTGAAAGAAGTTGGAGTGTCTGTGGAAGACTGCAGCTGTCTAGCACAGGACGCCTCACGGATATTTGACGTGTACTGGGACGTTGGAGCTCAGAAGAATGGATCTCTACCTCCTTTCTGGCCGGGCCGTTTCTCCGCCCTCTCCAGTTCTAAGTACCCATTAGCTGTTAAATTCAACGGTGTCCCTGCACGTGTCTATTTGTCTGTGAGTTGTGTTTTCACTGCATGTTTTGTAATAATTTTATTCAACCTGTTCACATTTCCACTTGTTCTCTGGCTTTTGTCCTGGCTTATTTTCATGTATTCCATGTGTCTATTTTTCATTTAATGTATTGTGTAGAAATGTTGTCTTTTTGTCATATTACCACCTTTTTCACTGCAGAAAAACATTGCATGGACAATATATATGGCCTATACCATCTTGTTCATTTTCATTCATTTCTAAATGTGACACATGCGTTTTTAGTGTGTGCAGAAATGTGTTCTAAATATTACATGACAGTGTTTGACTTGTTCTTGTAGAGTTCTCCTCCTCCTTTATCATCACATGGCCGTTCTGACGATCTCTCAAGCATCCTGTCAGTAATTGCTGATGCTGAGCGGTTCATATATGTGTCTGTGATGGACTACCTTCCCATGTCCCAGTTCACGGAGCCCATTCGGTAATCTTTACCATTTGATATTGAGTCAGGGTTATTATAGTTAACTAAAACGAAAAGCATTAAAAAAAACTTTTACTTTTGTACTTTATTTTAGTTACTAAAATAAAATAAAATGTTTAATTTATTTTATTTCAGCTAGTTGCCAAAGCAGCTTTTTTTTTTTTGATGTACTAAAATAACTAAAACTAAAACTTAATAAAAAATGAATTAAATTATATAGACATTTAAAAAATGGACAAAACACACAAGAGTGTGTTGTCACAAAGTGACAAAAAAAATTAACTGAAATATTATTGTGCATGTGTATATGTTTTCAGTGATTTACTATGCTTTCATGTACTAAGATAAACTAAAATGGAAATAAAAAAGAATAAAAACTACAGTATATAGACATTTTCAAAAATTAACAAAAACAAAATAAAATGACTAAAACGATTCACTAAATGTAAGAAATAAAAAAGCAAAAACAAAAATATGAAAAATAATTTAAAAATATATGTAGAAGTATTTCAATGATACTAAACAACCACTGGGGGTAATTTTGAAAATTCAGTACATTTGCATGTAGTTAGTTTATAAGGCATGTGGAAGATTATTGTGATGTTTTATTGACTTTGATGTCTTTAGGTTTTGGCCTGTCATCGACTCGGCCCTCCGTGAGGCAGCTTGCACGAGAGGTGTTGAGGTGAAGCTGTTGGTCAGTTGTTGGAGTCATTCTCCTGGTGCCATGTTTGTTTTCCTCCAGTCTTTATCGGTCCTCAACAAGCCCCCTCTGAGCTGCAGCATTCATGCTGTACGTTTTTGTGTGCTCTTTACATCTTCTACATGTATTGTTTTTCATCCAGCCATCACTGGTGATTTAATGTTTAAAACGTTTCATTTCACAGAAAGTTTTTGAGGTGCCTTCAACACGAGAGCAGCAGAGGATCCCGTTTGCACGTGTTAACCATGCCAAGTACATGGTGACTGATCGAGTTGTTTACATCGGTATGTTCGCTGTTTCCTCTCGACATGTACAAATTTCACAGCATGATCTCACTTGCATGTTTTTCCATATTCCAGCAACCTGACGGCAGGTTTGGCGCTGCATCGTAAAAAACCTGCCAACAGAAACAGTCAATGTTTACATTTACAATTGAATTGCTGTGAATATGAGTTTTGGAATAAATCGAATGTCAGTTTCGCAATCCTGCTATGATGACGGATTGTTATATTGTGTTTTACAGGAACTTCCAACTGGTCTGAGAATTACTTCACCCAGACGGCAGGGGTTGGGCTTGTTGTGAATCAGACGGGTTCTGCAGTAGGGCAGGGCCAGCAAACCATTCAGAGCCAGATGCAGGAGATTTTCCAGAGGGACTGGCATTCAGAATACGCTCAAACCCTCACTGATGTTCACGCGGAGCACTGCAGCGGAAAAAAGCTTACATAATATACCACGCTCTTTATTTGTTATGTTGCTATGCACTATGATTCAAAAAATAAAAACATCAGACATCAAAAACTCAAAACCCTGCGGCATTCCTGCCTACTGATAACTTATTTATGATGGATGTATTTGCCAAAAGGATGCTGTGCATTTTTAATGTTTGTTATAAATATGGCATATATTAATTCTTTTTTTTTTCAAGTGCATTTATTGTATATTTGCATTATGTGACATTTGGCAGAATAAGGACAAGGTCCTTGAGCAAGCACTGATCTCTGATGTTGAACTGGTTAAACATGCATGTAAATGAAGTATTGTTGTAATAGGTGCCTTGGCTTTAATGACTGTAAAGTTTGTTTTCAAATTAAACTGCCAAGAAAATGCTTGTGCTCTGATGTTTTTAATATTAATTTAGATTTTTTTTTTTTTTTTCATTTTTAAAAATCTTTTTTTAGTTTAAACTTTTAAAAAAATGTTTTGCTTTGCATGGATTTTTTAGTTTAAACTTTTTAAAAAATGTTTTGCTTTGCATGGATTAAACGTTTACTGCATCTGCATTTACCTTTTTGCGAAAACAAATAAAGGTACTTTTACCATATATATATATATATATAGTCAGATGATACAGGTACTTATTCAGTTCTGATAATTTATGACATTTTCAACAAAGAGAAGTTACAAAATCATTTAAAATGTCTCCCATGAATGTATATGTGACATTTTATTATTCAACATATAAATTAACATAAAAAAAACTTGAATTGCTGTGAATATGAGTTTTGGAATAAATCGAATGTCAGTTTCGCAATCCTGCTATGATGACGGATTGTTATATTGTGTTTTACAGGAACTTCCAACTGGTCTGAGAATTACTTCACCCAGACGGCAGGGGTTGGGCTTGTTGTGAATCAGACGGGTTCTGCAGTAGGGCAGGGCCAGCAAACCATTCAGAGCCAGATGCAGGAGATTTTCCAGAGGGACTGGCATTCAGAATACGCTCAAACCCTCACTGATGTTCACGCGGAGCACTGCAGCGGAAAAAAGCTTACATAATATACCACGCTCTTTATTTGTTATGTTGCTATGCACTATGATTCAAAAAATAAAAACATCAGACATCAAAAACTCAAAACCCTGCGGCATTCCTGCCTACTGATAACTTATTTATGATGGATGTATTTGCCAAAAGGATGCTGTGCATTTTTAATGTTTGTTATAAATATGGCATATATTAATTCTTTTTTTTTTCAAGTGCATTTATTGTATATTTGCATTATGTGACATTTGGCAGAATAAGGACAAGGTCCTTGAGCAAGCACTGATCTCTGATGTTGAACTGGTTAAACATGCATGTAAATGAAGTATTGTTGTAATAGGTGCCTTGGCTTTAATGACTGTAAAGTTTGTTTTCAAATTAAACTGCCAAGAAAATGCTTGTGCTCTGATGTTTTTAATATTAATTTAGATTTTTTTTTTTTTTTTCATTTTTTAAAATCTTTTTTTAGTTTAAACTTTTAAAAAAATGTTTTGCTTTGCATGGATTAAACGTTTACTGCATCTGCATTTACCTTTTTGCGAAAACAAATAAAGGTACTTTTACCATATATATATATATATATAGTCAGATGATACAGGTACTTATTCAGTTCTGATAATTTATGACATTTTCAACAAAGAGAAGTTACAAAATCATTTAAAATGTCTCCCATGAATGTATATGTGACATTTTATTATTCAACATATAAATTAACATAAAAAAAACCTGTCTCAAAACCAATTGAGCTCCTGCCTCACGAAAACGAACAGTGGTTTTATTATAATAAAAGTGTAGTCAACATGGGTTTTGGCGTATTGTTTACCACTTGTATAACCACAGTTTTACTACAAATACTATGGTTAGTGTAGCAAAACAATGGTTAATTTGTGCTTACCATGGTTTAACTACAATAACCATGCTTTTTTGTGTTTTATTTGTAGTAAAACCATGGTTAATTTTCGTAAGGGCTATAATGCCCAAATATGCTGCTTATAAAGCCCAATAATGCTGTCTAGGCAGGCAGCTCGCTAGGTTTTGAAACACAGCCCGCGTCTCCTCGCAGGAAGTGAAGGCGCGGAGGCAGGAAGACGTTAAAAATGGCACGAGAAAGAAGCCCAGCGTTATGGCTTCACTCTCAAACAAGTGTAACTCGCAGAATGCCGGTGTGTCGCAGAATAACGTTACTCTTACTTTTATGGCTACTCCACTTTTCTTCGGTATATTCCGATATAACGGACGGGAATGCGGAGCACTTAAAGCGGGAGCACTCGCTCATTAAGCCATATCAGGGTGAGTAGCCGCCTGCTAGTGCGAGCAATTACTGTCCTACTAGTGTTTGTTGACGTCCTGTAGCCACACGGTCACTAAAGTGTCTTAGGCTTCTGTTCACTACGTAAATTAGGATGCCACTTAAGTTATATTGTAATGTCATGGGTCATGTATTTCATTAGGAACATGTAACCGGGGATATAAGTAGGCTACTGTAGAGTCTTAATAGTGACAACTCAATGTAAACAAAACTAGTCAGCCATTGTGCATTTAAAGTGCAGGTTATAAAGGAATCCACCTTCACAGGGAGAGCAAGCAAATTGTCAGTTTACTATTTAACTGAAAAGATATTACATGGTTAAGGCTTTGATGACTGTTGTGTATTGTCATATACTGGGGTCCAAATATATGAAAAGCAGCGAAAAATTACATTATGAGGCGCACAAAAATGACATTATCAGGGACACGTTTACTCTACAGGTTTGTGCTAAACCTGATGATCTTGTTCTCCAGCATTATGTGAGGAAGACCTAAAGAGTATCTAATGACAGTCACACAGCAGTGTCCCAGATACAAAATATTTTGTATTCGTTTTATATCATAAAAAAAAAATACATTTAATCCTAATACTTTCAGTTTATTTACAGGTGCACTGTAAAAAATATCTAATTACATTTACTTTAAAAACTGAGTTTACTGTAAAAATGCTTCCAGTATTACAGGCAGCTTGTATATTTTACAACCTATATAAATTATATATTTTATTTGCAACTCAGTTTTTGCATTGAAGATAGGCGTAGGTGCTGACATGGCAATAAAAATAAATTACTACTACTATACTACTGCTACTATTTAATATTTTATTAAGTGATATAATGTTCATTATAAGTGTCCTCCTGTCAATAAAAAATGGCCAATACTTTCAGGAGTATTGGTCATACACACAAAACACCATCAGAGTAACACACATGACACTAAAATAATGCAATAAATATTAATTAAATAGCATATGTAAAGCAAAACCCAGTGTACATTACTGATAACAAAAATAAACTATTTAAATAATAATAATAATTTTAAAAAATCATATGTGATGTCACACAGGAGCTTTTTTCATTGTAAATGATATGGTAATTCATAGTTTTTGCTTACAAAAACAAACAAAAAATCACTGTGGGTGGTAAGATAACTTATTAAAAGTTAACTAATTAACCTGTTTTTTTGCTGTAGCATTTTTAAAGTTTATTTTAATATTATTATTATTTTTTTACAGTGTATTAATTAATTTTTAATCCTAAATTTTCATTGTGGCCTCAGGCTTTTGAACCCCAGTGTATGTGATGAGACTCGTTTTTATCTACGAATGTTCTCATGGCTTATAGCGCGTATATAAGCTTCACTCCAAATTACCAATACACTGTAATTAAATGTAGCAAAAGTGATATGATCCTTTATGTATCATATGTCAGGTGTTGGAACAAGTCCGTCAAGTCAGTGGGACTTTTGGGGAAGTACTTTAATAACCAGCCAGTATGTGCGTCTGACTCCGGATGAGAGGAGCAAACAGGGGTCCATCTGGAATACAGTGGTGAGTAAAACTGAACTGAAGCCTACCAAACCAAGTAGTTGATGTGAACGCGGTGAATTCATGTGACCAAACTTGAACCCAATGCAAAATCTGCATTTTTGAAAATTCTCCGAAAAATGGTTAATGTGATGCACTTTATTAATGCAAAATGAAGTTGAGTAATGTTAATTTTCCCTCTCTGCAGCCCTGCTATTTGAAGGATTGGGAGATGCATGTGCAGTTTAAAATTCATGGATCAGGAAAGAAGAATCTCCATGGAGATGGTTTTGCCATTTGGTACACGAAAGACAGGCTACATCATGGTAAGTCTGTGAGGGAAAACTGAAGGTTTAGATCCCGTCGAACTCTTTCTCGTTCATTTCATGAATTGAAATGTAATGAGTTATAATGCTGTCTATATATGTGTGTGTAGTCCACGCGATCCACCGGCAAGTCTGCTCTTTCTTCCCTGCAGTTGATTGTGTCATACTTTTATTTAGGCCCAGTCTTTGGAAACCAAGACCATTTTGTAGGCCTGGCTATTTTTGTGGATACCTTCCGTAATGATCTACAAGGAACGGATGTAAGTGTGCCGTACTCACGGGTCCTTCTTTCTCTGCAGGCACCGTGTTTGGCAGTAGTGCCAGTTTCCTTGGGTTGGCCATTTTTATAGACACATACCCTAACGATGAGGCTCCGGATGTGAGTTGAGAGATGTAAAATATTTGTGTCTTTGTACCTTCATTTGAACGAAAGCTTTGCTTTATCATTATGGGATGAACTTGAGATTAGATACAAAGATATCTATTTCCAAAAACACTAGTATTTATGAGAATACTGGATTTTTGGCATGTTTGTTCTGCTTCTGGTCATCGGCTTGATCCTCACGGAAAATGATTTAAAAGGGATAGCTTGAATATGATTATTTGCCAGGTGTTTGCATTCAGATGTCAAACTGAAAAACAATCATTTGAGTAGAGAAGAATGTCTTTTATTCAAACTATCCCATCATTTTTTTATTTGCTATATGTTCTGAATTATCAACATATAGCAACTTTTTTTTCTTTCAACAATTTTGCCAAGCACTACAAATAATCAATGCTTTCTTTGTTTTGCCTGCATCATGTGGTCCATGTTTTTTTTTTTTTGTTACCCTCATCATTCATTACTTGTCGATGAAGCATTTCATAAAAAATATTTACAGTGCTTATTGTTTTGATTTTAGTAGAATGCAGTGACCTTTTATGAATTTAGATCATTCTGTTTTACACAAGCTGGTTCATGAACAGCTGTATAAGTGCTATCCTTTAGTAATTTACATTGCTTTTTTGTGTCAGCAATTAGGCAAAAATCAATGTAATAAATGTAATTCATAATCTTTGGTCCTCCAGCGCTCATTTCCCTATATTTCTGCGATGGTGAATAACGGCTCCCTGCCGTACGACCACAGGAAAGATGGCCGGTCTACTGAATTGGGAGGCTGCTCTGTGGAAGTCAGAAACAAAGATCATGACACATACCTGGCCATTAGATACTCCAAAGGCAGACTCACGGTAAGATACTGCAAATGCAGTGATAAAGAGTCAGTAAGATCTTTTTTAAAAATGTTTTTTAAAGTCTCAAAAATACAGGAAAGTGTCAAAAATACAGTAAAAACAATTATTTAGTGAAATATTTTTACCATTTAATGTAAATGTTTTCTATTTTAATATATTTTTAAATGCAATTTGTTTTTATGATGGAAAAGCTGAATTTTTTAGCAACCATTACTCTAGTCTTCAGTGTCACATGATTATTCTAATATGATTTGGTGCTCAAAAAACATTTCGGTAACACTTTACATTTGAACTGTACGGTTTTTAACGTAAGTAGACAAACGATTTTATTCAGAAATGTGTTTAACTAACTAATGTTTTTAAAAAATGTATCACCTGAATGTATTTTAGATTTGTTGTCTAGTATTAACCTTGAACATCTTATAGTTTTTTTTTTTTTTATTATTGTATGACTGTTGTTATTTATTCTGTTTTCGCCATGAAGATAGTCTTGCTACTGACATTGTGTTAAAAAATAAGTGAATGAATTAATAAAAGCTTTACAATTAGGATCCACTTAACTTAAAATAGTTCACATGACCTAACAAAAATATATAAAAATATTTCTTATTCATTCTTCTTATTATTATCAGTGCTAAGAACAGTTGAGCTGCTTAATTATATTCAAAAGAACAGCACTTTTGTACCATTCTAAATGTCTTTACTGTCATTTTTTGATCAATTTAATGCATCCTTACTGAATAAAAGTATTAATTTCTTTAAAAAAATCTTACCACAAACGTAAACTGTATTGTAAATTGTTTTATACCAGTGACTACCGGCAGTTTCATTTTGGCACTGAAACAGTCACGATCATTTTTGTAGATGTTTTGAGTTTGTGACGACCCCTGTCGTTTGTTCGTGGAGTTGCTGTGGGAGTCCACAGACTACCTTGATTGGCCATCGTTTGAGACACCTGCTCTCTATCAGACGCTCCCTTTAAAAGAGGCCTCCGCTTGAGCCAGGGGGGGGCTCCGGTTTTGGATATTTGGTTTTGTGGCTTGTTTGGCTTGTTTGCCCTTGCACCCCAACACCGCAGTACACTACATCTCCCTACATACATACATTTCGCATTACACATTGGCACTACTGATGTTTCCAATACATAGTTGTTTTCTTTATGGTGTTCTTTACTTTTTTTTTATGTGACTAGCTTTCGAATAAATTATATTCAAAGCTAACCATTTGGTTCGTGTGTGTCCTCTGTTTGTTGCTTCCCTTGAGCCATGGGTCGTAACAAATTCCTCATGATAAGAGCCATTTAATACATGGAGTTAAATATATATAAAAGTATACCACATCTATGTTCTGTTTCCACAGATTATGGTAGATGTGGATGACAGGAACGATTGGAAAGAATGCATTGATTTCGGAGGTGTCCGCCTCCCTACAGGATACTATTTTGGGGCTTCTGCGGCCACAGGAGATCTTTCTGGTAAGTGTTACTTCTAAATCTCCCCTAGATGTCCACAGTGATCCTGATTAGGGTTGGGTACCGAACTCTGTACTTTTAAGGGTACCGACCGAATTGCGTCGGTACTACAGAGTACCGATTCACGTTAAATCAATCGGTGCCAAATTTCGGTACCTGAGAATGCATCTGGGCGCATACGCTACAGAGAGAGAAAGAGAGACCCTGTGACGTGAGGTCACCCTTGCAGCTGGTTCAAACAACACACAGGGCAAGCCGAAATGTTCTGAAGTAGGGATGTAACGATTACCAGTTTGACGATAAATCATGATAAAATTCCCCACGGTTAGTATTACCGTTTCATCTTTTAATTATCATTAAGACCGTATTAGATTACCGCGATTTGAACGGCTCGCGTTAAATAAATACTGTCCAGCATAAAGCACAGTTTTAAGTAACAGTCTCACGTGCGCACAGCACGCAGAGTAGTTTAGTTTTGAGTGAAAACAGGGCGGAAAAGCTGGGAGGTTTTAAAAGAGTGCTAAGGGAATTATACAAATTAATATATGAATTAATTAATTATATGAATGTACCTCTGAAGGTTCTGACTGTCTTCAGAAACGATTCGATGGCATTTGTTTTCATCTTCGTTCCATGTAATACCTGAAGTAAGTGTTCTTAATCGCAATACTGCTTTGTCCACGGAGTTTACGGGAAACAGCTTTTCTATAAGCGCCACCTGCTGTCAGCCAGTGGATTTACAGAGACTTATATTTACATTCAGCCTGTGTGCAGTTTCTGTCTGGCCAAAAACGAATCTGCATGCCCTGCTGTAAATTTTGACCGGATTTTGGACGAATAAATCAAAAGTAGCCACTGCCATTTAATTCGAATCGCGATATGAACTAGTGTCTGTGAATATTAAAATGCAAAAAGATGGTTTAAATATGAATCCTGCATGTTCCGCTTGCCTCTGTATGTATGAATGGCGGGTTTTGTTTACTATGTAAACATGTAAATGAAATATATTACTATTGTATTACTTTTGTAAAGTATAATGTACATCTTTAAATATTCCATTTTCTATCAAATTTAAATAAAACAATTAAATAATAAAAATAAATATTACAACTAGATTAATCACTTAATTGTAGAAAAAAAGAATACAATTATTAGCCTATTAAAAAATGTTTTAAAGGAATATTCACACAATTTTTCTTCCATGTATTAATTTCAACAGTAAACCTCAGTTTGTTTGCCAAAAAAATAAAAAGGTTTAATTTTCATTTGATTTAAAATAAATGTTTAATGCCTTAATTTCATTTTCAGAAAAATTAAAACAAGAATTTCTGGAAAGAAAGAAAGAAAAAAAGAAAGAAAGAAAAAAAGTTTGTAGGGCCCTATTGTTCAAAATGTTGAAATTGAGACTTTTGGACTTATTTTTTCCCTGAAATGTTTTTGTAATTACACAGAGTAAAGTACCGAAAAAAGGTACCGTTGGGTACCAATACCGGTACCGTACCAAATGTCCGTCAAATGTGAACGGTACCCAACCCTAATCCTGATGCCTTTTGCCAGACCTCACTGATACTGTTTGCTCTGTGCAGATAATCACGACATCATCTCTATGAAGATGTACCAGCTGATGGTGGAACACACTCCTGAGGAGGACAACCAGGACTGGACGAAGATCGAGCCTAGTGTCAGTCTCCTCAAGTCACCGAAAGGTAACACAGCTGATATGTAGTTATAGACATATTGTTGGCAGACAGAAAGATTTTTCATTCAATCGCTTGTCATGCTTGTCATGTTCACATCTTCTCCCCCAAAACAGACAATATTGATGATCCGACGGGAAATTTCCGAAGCACGCCCCTCACTGGCTGGAAGGTCTTCCTGCTTCTGCTGTGCGCTCTGCTGGGAATCGTGGTTTGCGCCGTTGTTGGTGCCGTAGTCTTTCAGAAGCGTCAAGAGAGGAACAAGAGGTTCTACTAAACAACAGGATTTCAAAGAACTCTGGAGATTGTAGGTGAACAAAAAAAACATTAATGTGAATTTTGAACAGCTGTATACATGTGGATATTATGGAACTGCTCGACTGGAAGGAAAAATGGTTTGAGTCTAAAGAGTGGGATTTGTGGCTTCAAAGAAACGTTTCTTCATGTTAGTCTTGATTTGGGTCTGCCGAGGTAAATGACACATTTTCAATGCATTTTCTACAGTAGTACATCTTAATTTTTGTGTGTACCCTTTATATACTTGATTTAGCTTCATTCTTCAAATCCGTGGTGGTTTATTTTCTTATTGTTTCAACCCTTTATCTGCGTTTCTTTTCCATCTACACATTGCTTCGTTCTGCTCTGGAGTGCTGATTTTTTTTTTTATAACCTGTGTGATTTACTTAAGAGGATTTTAATGGACTGCACAAGAAATCAGACTGATGAAAAGTGTCCTCTTAAATCGGTCAAATCAATGTAAATATTTTAAGTTGCTGCCCTAGTCCCTTTGCTCTATGGCATAATGATTGAGCCTTGTTTTTTAACCATAGGAGTTGAAAATATTGAACCAAAAAATACATGTTTATTTGTTTTATTACTGCAGGGTAACAAGAGTTCAGCCTTATGTGAGTTGAGTTGTTTTTCTTACATCTTTCTGTTAAGTTTGCTATTTTTTGCACCTCTGTAAGAAGTTATTGCAATGCACTGATTTACAGTTGTTTCTGAAAGAAGTTCACATTTAAATGGGCAGTGACTGTAAAATGATGCTTTTGGTGAGAAAATAAAGCAGTTACAACAGTTAACTAGTCAAATATTTTTCCTTTTTTCAGTTTTTAACAGTGGAACCGTTTTTCTTTCTTTCTTATTTTGCCCTTAATTATTAGGACCCAATTTATGCCATATTCATATTAAACCACTAGTGTTAAAAAATAATAATAAAAATGTGTAACTAACAATGTTTTTGTACAACAATATGGTCAGGATTCACGACAGGTACAAATTCATATAGTTTTGTCACTGTCTGCAGCTGCACACTGTGAAGCAGCATCATGATATGTTTATCTCAAGACGTTTCAGAGTCTCGTCCCAAAAAATGCTTTTGTGCACAGAAATATGAAACGGTTTAAATATCTTGTACATAAGCATTTATTACTAATTTGATAGCATCAGATTCAGTCAGAACAATCTAGTGGTGTTGAAAAATCATAAAAATCATGGACCGTATCACTCAGCCTTGTTTTCATCTATCTATCTGTATTTATTTATTTTGCACAAGGGAATGGTTAGGTAGATGTACAGAGGCCACTAATCACGGTGTTGGTAGACTGAAGAATCACCCCTTTCTTCTTTCTTGCCTATATGGTGATTAGATTCACTGTTTTGGACTGCTGTTTTCCCAGCATTAGCAGGACTTGTTATTGATAGGCTCAGTCCTGTTTTTTGTTTTTTCATGGCAGAAAGTGCCATGTTAGAGCTGTATAATTGTTCTATAGGCTTCTAATAAAGCTCTCAGTGCATGCTAGAGCCAACAGGCCGATGCCAAGCAAGGTATCTGGGCTGCTCATGACTGTTTTAAAATAACTTTTTACAGTATTTGCCAGCCTTCTTCCCCGTGACTGCTCAGTGGGTTCAGTCCGGGCTATTTCTTGCCTGTCACTGGAGCTGTCATACCTATCATGGAGCTGTTTTCACTGAGCTTTGCCAGGACCTTAATGATTATGTCTTGGCCCCACATGATAAACATCAGTTTGCCCATGAGCTCTGAAAAATTCAGAGTCGCTAGGGCTATCCCTGTGTCTTGCCAGGATCTTAACAGTCATGTTCTGGGCCCATGTGATGCGCATTGGTTTGCCCAAGATCTCCAAAAAATTCAGAGCCACTAGCGCATTTTCTGCTTCATGGCGCTGTTCAAAGGTCACAAAACCATAGCCTCGAGACCGGCCCATTCTTCTGTCTCTGCACACTTGTACAGAACGGGTGGGTCCGAATGGTGAAATATTGTATGCAGTAATTGTTCGGTCACATCTGGGTGCAAATCATTGACCTTTTGGTTGACCGTTATCTTCATCTGAAGACCAATTGTAGGATGTTGCCATTTTGATTGTCTGTCAGAGAAGATTCTACGAAAAAGCTATTCTATACAAGCACAAATGCTATAAAGATGCTTCAGTCAGATCAATCAGTCATATAAACTGACTGCTTTGCAAGCCCCAGAAAGTTCTAAAATTCTAATGGCTGTGACGTCACGGATCACGTGACATTCCTCGGTAGACAAAAAAATTTAATGCCTGTGATGTCATAACTATGATGTCACTTTGTAGGCAAAAACCCTGAAGCGAGTTAGCATTTTAGCACTTCCGGTTCCATCGAAGGTTGCCGCTTGGTTTTTTGAATGGGAGTTTGGTTAAATCCCCTAAAATAAAGTCCTGGTTCACACAAGCTCAAGATACTTTCACGTTTTATTATAGGACATAAGACACACCAGTTACACCCCACTCGTAATTTTTAAAAACGGTTACGTTTCTTAAAAAAAGACGGTTGCTAACAAGTTGCTAAATGGGACTACAGGAGCTGTCGGAGACATTAAACGTACAATTACAAGTACAATTAATTGTAGAATAATCAATTAATAGTTTACCGCATTTTATATTGTTGTTCGACAATATTTTTTGTTGTTGTTTTGCTTTGCCCCGAAATGCAACACAAGTCTTCGGATGGAAGATGCTCGTTTTATCGCTTACTGAATACGGAGACTCTTCCGGACCATAAGGTAAACTCATGTGATTATTCCGTGTAAACACCACATTTACGGTGTCACATATATAGTCACGGAGAAAGTGAAACTTTAACGATGCATAGTGCTTCAAGCCACGTTAAAATGAAATGTTTACGGCCACAAGCAGCTCTTAGAAAACATATAGATTGAGGATTTTCTAGAAGCAAGGATAAAATAACATTCATATTAATCAAAGATTTATTCACTTTTAATGTACCTTATTTCGAAATGTACAGAAATACGTGCTTTCATATGTCCTTTAATTATGGTTATTTCATTTATTCACTATACTATTTATTACCAATGTCTCACTTCAGTTTTAGTTTGGCTCTAGTTTTGTATTTATTCCAGTTTATATGAAAAGGTTCATGTAGCGATTTATATCGCTTTTCCTGTCCGAAAAGACCATATCACAGATAAAATTGAGTTTACAATTTAGTTTAATTCTATATTATTATTATTATTATTCATTATTTTATTAATTAGTATTGTATATTTTTATTTATTATTTTTTAGTGTTTACCATATCACAGATAAAATTGAGTTTACAATTTAGTTTAATTCTATATTATTATTATTATTCATTATTTTATTAATTAGTATTGTATATTTTTATTTATTATTTTTTAGTGTTGTACTTAAAATTACATTTTCCAAAGTCCCTGTTCTTTTTGAAGATATAATAGTGTTTATGATTTGTATTTTGTTCCCATAGTGATAAAAAGACTGTCCTAATTAGGCCGCGTTTGGTCAGCCGTTTTGTTATCATTTACATGTGTTTTATTTTCTGATTGACGCCCGAAATATGCAACAACATAGTAAAATATGAAAATTAAGTCAAGCACATTAATTCTTAAACTCACCTTTGTGGCGAGTAATCGCGCTGAATCCCTATAAGCTCGTGTATCTAAACTTAGTTTTCCCATAAGGCCAATAAAAATGGATTTGTTACAGTCATGAAAAATGTTTTTGAACGCTCTAACGTTGTATGAAGAATGTGAAGTTTTACCGAGGTATGTTCGGATGGCAGGGGCTTTTTGGTGTAACGGCCATTTATAACTAAATAAATAATTTTCAACGTTGCAAAAGATTCGATTCACTCGGTTGAATCAAAATCCCCACCAATAAATAAAACTACAATGACCATGAACAATCTGGGGAAAGCGCTTTCCGCTTGTGATTGGACGATGGCCGACGATGGGTTACGTGGCATTGGAGTCGCTAGTGCGCATGCGCAGTTTCACCGGCAGTGTCAAGATGGTGGCAGTCAGAATGCAGTTTACACTTTATTTGGTGTTGTTGTTAAACATTTACAACAGTTTTGTGTCTGCGTTGTATTTTCATATCGGCGAGACTGAAAAGAAATGCTTCATAGAAGAAATACCGGACGAAACCATGATAATAGGCAAGTAACGTTAGGAAAAACGGAATAAGCCAACTTTGTAGTGCACGTTAATGCTTAGCCTAGTGCTAACTAGCAGGTTTGTCAGGTAGAGTTCATTCTTTGGCAACCAGCTTGACTTCAGCTAGTTCAACTAAACAAAATATAAGTTACAAATGAGCTTATTTTGTAGGTTTTACCGTAAATAGCATTTAAATAGACATGTAGATGCATACTGCACCGAGAAAGCAACAGTATTAACTAATACGCTTTTTTAAACATTGAATGAAGTTTTTAAGGTAACGCCATAGTGATCCATCCTGCTGGACTTTGGCTAAATTAGATGAAGAGATGAATTATGAGACAAGAATCTGATGTTGAAATATCCTGAATGCAGTGACACAACACCAAGTGAATATGACATAACTTCTCACTCTAAGATAATGACTTACTGTGTTTAGTCAGGTATTCTTGTCAGTGGATTATTATGAAATGACTTCAATTTATTTTCTTACAACTATGTAAATCTGTCTTAACCAGGTAACTACCGAACGCAGCTCTATGACAAGCAGAAAGAAGAGTATTTGCCTGCAACTCAAGGACTTGGGATGTTTGTGGAAGTGAAAGATCCCGATGAGAAGGTCTGTCTGATTAAAGGTCTTGCGAGTAATAAAAGTCAAGCATGTTTGCATTTCATTGTTCTCATTTGCTTATCTTTTTTTGGGGTTTCAGGTGATCCTGTCCCGCCAGTATGGATCTGAGGGCAGGTTTATCTTCACCTCCCACACACCTGGAGAGCATCAAATCTGCTTGCACTCAAATTCCTCCAAATTTGCTCTTTTTGCTGGAGGGATGCTTGTGAGTTTATTTTGTGCACCGCTTCTTCTGCTCTCCTCAAACTATATTTATAAATACGCTGTTGAGACAAGTACAGTATTGCAGAATACACAATGCAAATATGATCCACACGAACTGACAAAATGTTGTGAGGAAATAAATGTTAATCCGTAAAACTTTTTGAATAATTGAAATTTAGATTTGATTTACAATTTTATTTTCAATTTTTATTTAATTTTACATTAAATAAATGTTAGCGTATTAAATGCAAGGAAAGTGTCTACTTTAATGATTCAAATAATTTTTGCGAAAACAAAATATGGGTGAAATAATGTTCAATTAACATGCATCGTAACATATTTATTTAAAAAAAAACATACATATTCTGACCTGTATTTGTTAAAATATAGAAGAAAAAGTGATTTTTTTTTACATTTTAAATTATTAAAAACTTCTTGCTTATAAATGGGTAAAACCTAGTGGTTTTAAGGAGATTGTCATAGATTGGTAATGATTTCAAATGATGATAAATAAGTTTTTGGGGCTGCACTGTGATCCTTAAATAGAGGCTTTTAATGCCATCTAATGATTCCTGCTCTAAATATCCCTGAAAATATTTTTTTTGGTTACACTATTAACTATTGTTACACTGAATGACATTTTATTAGGCGTATTCTGTTAATCATGGTAAAAATGTGCTTAGAAAAAAAATGTTACACTGGTCACACTGTAATGTACA